CTCTTTATATTTTGCCTCCGCAAAATGTTTGTCTAGAAGCTTCTTAAATTCGGTCACTGAATTCGCCTCTATTACCGGCTGCGGCAGGTTGTTCCAGGTATTCACCACTCTACGTTCGAAGCAGAGTTGGTGAGCTACCCCCTTCAACTGCGGTACGATAAGTTTATACCGGTGTCCTCGCGTGCTACTTTGTGTGCACAGATGAAGCAGCTGTCTCAACATGGGGTAATCACTTAGATGTAATATCCGGTGCGTCATGATTAGGTCAACCCTCAGCCGACGATATGCTAGGGTGTACAGCCCTAGTTTCTTACATCGGTCTTCATATGGCATACCTCGTAAGTTGGGAATCAGCCTAGTGGCTACATGCTGCACCCGCTCAAGCTTTTCTACCTCGCCCAGCGTGATGGGACAATATGCGGGAGAGCCGTATTTTAGCTTTGGTCGTATTATCGAGACGAAGAGGCGAGTGGCAATCTCTTCGGACCAGGTGCTGAAGCTGCGCCTGAGCGCCCAAAGCATCCGAAGGCTGTTTTGGTACAGCCTATTCGTGTTGTCAATGGACTTTCGGTCGCAGCGAAAGAGCACACCGAGGTCTCGCACGTAAGACATGGGATGCAGCGGTTGACCAGCCACTGTGTACGTTCGGCTCTGATCGCATTTACCCAACCTCATGAATTGCGACTTAGCAGGGTTGATCGGAAGGCTAACCTCTGCAGACCATGTTGAGAGGCTGTTGAGATTCTGCTGAAGTAAATCACAATCATTGAGCTTGCGGATTACTCTCCACACCTTCAAGTCATCTGCGAACAACGCACATGATGATTGGAGTAGCTTAGGCACATCGTTTACATGGATCAGAAACAATATCGGCCCCAGTACAGTGCCTTGGGGCACGCCGCTGCTCGATGGATACCAGTCCGTTAGATGGTTGCCACCTGGACTCTCCACTTCCGATCCCCAAGGAAATTTCTGATCCATTTGTGTAGCGAACCACCAACACCGTACATCCTCAGCCCGTCAAGGAGCACTGCATGGTTGACCTTGTCAAAAGCCTTACTGAAGTCAATGTAAATGACATCGACCGAATGACCTTGGTTCATCGCTTGTTACCACTCGTGCGTTGTCAACAGTAGGTTGGTGATTCACGAGCGACCTTTCATGAAACCATACTGTGCGGAGGTCAACAGGGTTTTCGACTCGAGAAGCTGCAGAAGGTTCTTCTTCACGATCTTCTCGAGCGTCTTTGCCAAAACAGCAGTCAGGCAGATCGGCCGGTAGTTATCCACTTTACTTGGGTTACCACCTTTCTGTATAGGCATTACGACTGAGCATTTCCAGTCGTCTGGTAACAGTCCAGTAGATAGTGACCTCTTAAACAGTTCAGTTATAGAAGGCGCGATGATGGCCTATAGGGACTTGAGGAGCAGTGGGTGTATACCATCTGGCTCAGCAGGTATTGTCCCGTCAAGATTTGCTAGAAGCTTGCGCACATCCTCAATATTGCAGTCCAGGCTGTTAAGTTCGGCTAGAGCGGTACTCGTCGAACTCGTTACAGACACCTGGCCACTTGCAAATACGGAGGCAAAGTGCGTCGCTAATGCGGACGCACGAGCTGCACTCGAGGTTAGGGGCTGTACTTCGAAGCCTTCTAACAAGGGGACATTGGCTACAGGCCTCAGGCGGCGTTTCACGTAAGCAAAGATCCTCTTGGGAGCAGTTTTTGCGGCGGCTGCAAGCTCCTCTTCGAAGCTCCTGCGTTTTCTTGTTTTCGCATCGTTGCAGCGATTTTGCTGTACGTTATACGCATGTAGTCCTCATCAGAGCCAGATAACACGAACTTGTTCCATGGTGTGCGTCGTCGTCGGGCCAGTTTGTTGTACTCTTTGTCAAACCAATGTGGTTTGACTGGCCCAACTTTCCAAAATTTGAGGGTACAAATCGGGCGTACAACGATTTCACTCCCTCTTTATTGATAGTCCAACAGGTTTCAATAGGTGAATCCTGTGGTAAAGACCAGTCCATCTGGCTCTCTGCTCTAATGAGGCCATTAAAGTCCGCCTTCCAATAGTTGAAAGTTGGCTCCAGTGATGGAGAATACGGCAGTGGTAGTTCCAAGCTGCCTATGATCATCGAGTGGTCGCTCGCCCCCAGAGGCTCCATGACTTGAATGTTATGCACACGCTGCTCACAGCTAGTCAAAAGTAGGTCCAAGCATGATGGAGCCGCGGGCGCAGTAATGCGTGTTGGTTGGTTGATGTGCTGTGTGGCCCCAGTTTCAAATAGCAACTCCGTACACTTCCTCTCGACTTCACAGTGGCCGGGGAGAAACTCAGCTTCAGGCAACTGTATTCGGGGCAAACTGAAATCGCCCTTGAGTAGGAATATCTGACGACTCATGTGACTGCGGACATGCGGCAACCAGTCCAAACTGTGGCTCAGTGGGCTGCGATGTACCACGCTCACGAGCAACTCGCAGAGTCTGAGGTGAATCGAACACCATAACTGCTCACATTGACCATCAGCGCTTTGGTAGGCGCTCACTAGTCTCCCACACAAGGATGACTTGATGTAAAGTAGAAGGCCACCGCGATCATTTGATGGTCTATCACAGCGAAAGCATGAGTAGCCGGTGCTTTCCACTTCGTGGATGGTTACCTCGGAGTTTCACCATGTCTCAGCAAGGCCTAATACTTCTAGTCGCTGAGAGCTTACAAAGTCGTACAGCACATCGTTTATTTTAGTGAACTTTCCATGTTAACATAGTTGAATTGCTGCCATACATGTGAGAAAGCTATATGATCGTCCTAACGTATTCACCATATTGTGAAAATGTTTCTGCGAAAATTCGCTTTTTATCTAAAATCACGTTTTAATGTGAAAATATCATAAATTTTGCTTCGCAGCTATTTCTTAGCATGGATATACCCAAAAATTCAAGTTCGCTTACGTGTAAGTCAGTGGATAGTGAGCAGCGTTATATCACATCTAGTAACTTATTCACGATGGTCGTTGCTGTCCCCCGTAGCTCAGTGGTCTCAACCACGGACTGGCAACAATCGAGTTGCGGATTCGAGCCCTACCAGGTGTCCGATGGAATGCGCACTGCTGATAATTCCCGAAAGGATGAAACGCGCGTACAGTGCTTCTCCGGGCGTGTGGCGGCTGTCTGAGTGAGTCTAAATGTGACGAATTTCTACCTATATCAAGTTCACTATCTTGCGGATATGCACATATTGACACGGAAAATAAAGTTAGTTAACTGATGGTAACCCCATAAATGATAACGAAGAACACTTCTACTCCTCGTGTTAAATAAGCCTGTGCCGAAACATCTGCACAGTGTAGGGTCTAACACTTCCATTAGATGTTATTTGCTAGAGAATTCAAAGTGCATTCTATTGGTAAATGCTGCTGTTTGTGTTTGGGATACAGTCTCTTCTGTTAAAAAGAAAAGAAAAGAAAAGAAAGAGAAAATGAATGGGGGTCAATTTTGGAGTGCACGTTGTTTCATTGGATTGCAATCAAAAATTGACCTTCCAATTAGTCATTCGCTGTTGTGACAAGCGTTGCCAGCCATAACTCGGTAGGCAAATGGGTAGAGGTTTATGCTACTACTCCATTGGTCGCGGGTTCGAGGCATGCTGTCTCCACCTGATGAGATGAAATTACATCGAAACGCGTCGTGCTTTTGCAGTGTTTCCGGGCGAGCAATACCCAATTTCCGACTGATTAAAACTGGGATGTTGCTAACCCATAAAACGTTGATTTCTAAGCACTGATAACAATATGAATGATCATGGCACAGCATTATCGAAGGCAATTAACACCGGGAATCTGCAATTTTCTGAACATTTTGGACGTAATATTTACGGAAACAAGATATAAACAGTATAACTCTTTTCGCAACCACCAATTATGTCAATGTCTGTTCACTAAGTTCTAAACTTCATACTGCTTTTCAATTAATCTTTGCCAAAAGCGTTCACTTTGATCTGTCTCGCACGTGAGTTATGAAATCTAAGTTACAATTTGGTGGCAGTTCACGCTTCCAAAGGTTGTATGTTTCCTATCCAAATCGTCACCGTTTTACATCGATTTCAATTGTTATGCATCGATCTATCTTAATGGGCTTGTGGGATGGAAAAGAACACTGGAAACGGCCCGCTTAATCTGTTCAGCTGCTCCAACGACAGAGTGTTTCATCTGCCTGGACAGTCACTTTGATGAATATGCAGTGTTTAGTGAATAGCTCCTATGGCACGGCTATAACACGGTTGACCGAATTTGTTCACCTAATTTGGGTCATATAAACGCAGTTGGTCTCAGGAAACCAAATAGTAGCTTGCCTAAATTTAATGTGCCGGTTATGGTGCTTGAAAGTAATACAACTGATAACCGTAGAACAAATGTTCGTGAACAGAACTCTAAACGTGTTATAGCAATAAAGACACTTGCCACTATTGGCTTATATGTTCTGGGATCATTTCACTCAGTTCAGAGTTCAATTACAGAATAAACTCTACATGGTGAATACCAAACAGTACACCTCGGTCTACTTAGCTTTTAAAAATATAACGTTGGTAGACTTTGGGAAGTTTTTGCTTTTATTATGAAAGTTCAAATTCGAGTTTCAGGTCAGCGCTGACTAAAGAATTTTATTCTACAACGAAAGCACTACTTAGATATTTAGCGCTGTTGGACCATGCATAACGACATGACATCATTTTAGGTTGACAGGTATTTGAAAACGAACCTGACAATAACCCTGTCAGTCAAAATGATAATGCTAATAAGAAAATATCAAATGACATGGACCAAGTCACGGTAATATTGTTATCAGCGGTTGAAAATATTGGGGCCAAAGAAAAACTACAGGGCCATTACCTAGTAGATCTTAAACATAAGTTACTTTTTCGAATTGAGCATAAATCTCTATTTACTCAGTTACACTTTCTAACTGTTTTAACGTCACAAACCAAATCAAAACGCAAACTGACCTAGCTGGTTTAATTTGCCCCATTTTGCGCACGCGAACCGTACAGAAAGTGACTCGTGGGAATTTCCCAGACGTTTCCCAATCCTTGCCTGTCACGATGTCATTTAGCACCTCGATTCCGAACATGGTGCTGTTGGTCCCGATGAAATGCTTCATGAGGTAAATTTGACCGACTGAATTCCCGATAAAACAAAATCGTACAATAAAGAAGAGAAAAGTAATTCGCGTATTGGGTCGAATGTGACAAAGAAGACGCCGGATATTACTAGTCATTCTCCTGTAACGTGCAGTGGATTCGGCTTGTTCTTCCAAGGTAGCTACTAAGCATGATATTGCTTTTTGACGCAATTCTCTATCTGGTACAGATGCTTCTTTGGCGGATCTAATGAGAACGGGCAATCGACGTGAGCCTACCCTCCAGAGAAGGTACGGAATCCAGCTGAGCATAACTTGACCAGCAAGAACTATAGCTATCCATTGGTAGTAGCCGATATGTTTAACTTTCGTCAGTTCATAATCATCCTCCGGAACTTGGTCACTTGGATGAAGGAAATAAGTGTTTTGGACCCAGCAAAGGTTTTCCGCATATTCTTCCCAAGAATGTGTGAATTCTTGCGGAACCCAGCATTGAATAGATTTCCCTGCAGAATGGAACAAATTTATGCAATTAGCTGCGGAATAAATAATTCATGCAAAAAGTTAACGTCTCTTTACCTTGGTGGAAACCGATTACTCCTTCGACAATTTGACAAAACTCCAGCCCTTTGGGAATTCCTAAGACGAGACTCAAAAACAAATGGAATGGAAAAAGCACCAGGTGGTATTCACTGCCAAAACAAACCACGTAAGTTTCTCTTATGGAGTGCATGCGAGGCTTCAAATTTTATCTTACTGGCGGCCGGTAGCTGTGTGCAATTGCACATAGAGTAAAATTCGATTTATACTTCAAAGATTCTGCTCTGATCCATATCCGATGAGTACAACTGCACAAAGCCTCAAAATCAAACACCATCTGAAATGATTCTGTTAAAATTGTCAAACCCATATTGCTTGTTACGCTATCAATAGCTGATGTATACGAACAATGGCAGAAAGCTTTGTCGGCGGCATGCACTTAAATGCATTCGTGTATTGTGTCCTTTGCGAAAGCGTACACATTCCCCTGAATTGCAGTCAAATCACATACTCGTTATTGGTGTAAACAAATCCAGCTGAGGTTGTAACGTGTGTAGATGCAGCATCAGCGATTACTTGTACCGAAAAAATCTATGTGCATATGTATATATGCGTATATATCCAAAAAGCCGTTTCAATTAGTTGCAAAACCAATTAACTCACATCAACGGTTGGCTAGTTAACTCGAATTTCTCCCTTCACTTAGAATGCACAAAATTCCAAAAAATGTGCAATCGCTTTTAATTGCATTGTTTTGGAGTTTCAGCTGGTGTAGAAGATATCTGTCGTCCTAGTTTCAACAACCAAACATAAACTTGTACTTATTGTTGAAATATCAACTAGGTGCAGTTGCATTTCAAGTTCTCACCAATGAGCCACATATTTTATTTTATTTTTCATAACTGTTAGGTATATCAAGCACCAGTATGTTTAATGAGAACTCGGTTGTCATCTTGTTAATAGCACGTAGAATAAGTAATGAAAGCTCGGAATGCATAGAGATCATGAACTAAAGTGACAGCTCTCTAAAGTCTGTTTTCAGTAAAGCGTTACACGAAACTTCAGATTGTCGTATGATTTCTAATTAGATTGTATAGCAATATCCTTTGTAGTTCTCGGTTAAATGGGGTTCCAATCAAAGAATTTCGTAACCCCCTTCAAGAAGCTAACGTTGACGTAGTAAACTCATCCACCCAGTTAGTTTACAATTTACCTAAGGCGAAATGCTTAATTATTTTTACAAGCATGTTTTCAACACAGTGAATGTGAAATTACTCCTGTCAGGCCATGAAATTTGGCAAATTAATTGTCGCTGGGCAGTTCAAATACGAACATGTGTGGGCCAGCTTACAAGACTTGGTTGTCAAATTGCTCGTTATAAAGTCATTGTCACAAACGCGTCCCTAAGATTTAGCGTCAGACAACGTTACCCTACGACTTAAAGCTTAAGTCGTCCACTTGGGCTTGCTTACAATGTCCACAGCATGTTACTATCCCTGTTGTTAACTCTAGCATCAAGTATTTTCTAGCATAATAACAGCTTAGATTTTTACTCTTACGCAATATTTCATAGTGCACAAATGTTTTTCTACGCGTGTTGTTCCAACAGCAAACTTGCGTTTCTGGATGAGCGCTACTGAATTAGTCTACCAAAACATGTTAAACCGACTAATTTCTGTTTTGTATTTCTGAAAAATCCCCATAAAACCACAGGGGACAATACTAAAATGCCCACCGTCTAAACCTTTCCAACGGAAAATAATATTTTAATGTTACACACGTGCATTAAGTCACACATCTCAGATCAAAATACATTGAATGCAATTCTACGCTATTTTGGTTTACTCCAGTACAGTTCAACGATGTTGGCATAGCTTTGAAATGAGCATGCTTAAACACTGCTAGGATGTCTGTTTGGTTTCCTTACTTCCTTGCAGCCCTACTTAATCCGTGCTCTACCGCGTCAAACAGGATGTCGTAAACTTACACCAAACGTGATAAAGTACCACCCAATTCTCAAGAGTTACGTTATATTATGCTAAGACAGATGGTACTTCATGATACTACCGGAAGGATATTGGGTTGTACATTTTGCTCCCTCTGCTAAACTACGCAAATTTCCCAATTAGGAGAGAAGTATGTGTACCAGTTAAACTTGCTTAGCGAAAAGTGTGCACGACTTGCTAACCATTTTAAACACAGCTGCACCAAGGTTGCTTCAGAGGGTAATGGTTCCTATTCTTTACCTAAATATAGGCAAGATCTCTTAGCTAAGAAAAGGCTGTAATACCCTGCAATTTTTTCAATGCTAGTTGTCCCAAATAGAGTAACAAAACAGCCGGGGATACAAAGTTCAGCATGCGATACCCTTTTGTTAACTTATAAAATAGTGCATCAAATAAGTCCACAATATAATTACAATAATTTGCAGTCCAACGGTTGTGATGTGAAGTGTATCTTTTTCTACAATACCCAAAAGGAGCAGGCCAGTTAAACAGAGACTGCGGCAAGGTTCTAAAGTTATTCTAGCATGAAATATTTGCTACACCGTCTCATAAATTTACAACAGCCTAGATATGCCACATGCCACGTTCCACCTCGGTAACCTCCACCAAAAGTTTTGGCAAAGAAACGCAAGCTTGACAGACAGTATGCAGCTACATTATTGCAATTTCTAACTGAGGCCAAGTAAAGTGTACTACATTTTACACGCCGTAATTAGAGGTTGTATTCTGCCAAGCAAACCAAATATACAGTGGTTAGCTTGACTTCTTCAGAAACGAACGCTCGACAGACACGATATGTTGTGGCTATAAGTTCCCACAAAAATGCCTACGAAACAAAATTTACATAGTATTCCACTAAATAAAACGTTACACGCAAAACAGCTTGCCGTGGGTCCTACGGTCTAATAACTTTAGTTCAATTTATATTTTAGCTGAAATTATTTTGAATGATGAAATGGCATGGGAACCATGGCATAAATTGTATAGAGAGCATTTTGTAAGTCGTGCTATGATAAGATTTAACAATAGAGAAACACTTACTCAACATCCGTGCTGTTATACGCATTCGATGTTACTCTCCACATCCTCTTTTTATTTACTGGGAAAACTATGTAAGGGTGATCAAAAACTTTGATCCAAAGTTTTAAACCTTAAGCAGGTTTACTGGCCTAAAGTGTACTGACCAATTAGACAACAGCTGGCTTGCTATTTTAAATCAAAAGTTTAGATCTTTCCAGGCGTGTGTCAACTAGAAGCAGCAACCCTGTCGTGGCTATCAAGTAGGCTAAGTGCAACCTACACACAAAATTAGCTGTTTTTAACCGCAACAACAACAGTAAGATATGTCCACCGATCAATAAAGCCTAAGCTTTGTTTACATATTTGAAGTCATTCATAAATGGTGATGTTTTAATTGTCTACTTGTGTTCGTGATATATTAATTTGCTTATTCATCATGCTGCAAGACAATGTAATTTGGAAAATAAACGGACCAACTGAATTGATGGTACAGCTTATTAGTTAAAAGTACCCTTGTTAATTTCTACAAAAGAACTGGGGTTTCCGCCCTGTGTTCAAGGAATGCAGTCGGATTAATGTTTAAAATATACGAACATTTCGGTGTGCTCAGACTTTCATAATATAATAACTTACGTGCGTAACTACGGGATAATTAAAAGTGTTGAAATAAACCTTCACATAATTCTAACGCCATCCACAGGACCTCACTTGATGGTAACTATGAATGGCGGTTTCTGTTGGAAAGCAGCCACGCAGTTCGAATATTTTCCAACAAGCAAATTCGCTTCACATTAGTAGGGAGTAAATTTCAAATCTTTTTATACGTCAGGCTAAATAACAGGCAATCTTAGGCTACATATGATAGTTCTCTGATAGATTGCCAACCGTTTAACTGTTTACAAGTTTTGATTCCTTATAATGTGCCACACCCTGACTTAATGCTGTAATTGCGCTGTAACCCAGCCTATAATTAAGTATTTCGCGTCCACCTGACCTTATCCTACTCCATCCCTCGTAGAAATCAATCCACGCACCCGAGTTCGAGGAATAAAGTGCTGGTAAGAGAACAATGATTTCATCCGGTTAACCTGATCTCAGGTTATAGATAGGTGACTTCATCTGACGCAAAATTAACCTACCTTAAAAATATACCTAGCTAAAACACTGCTACAAACGCCTGTCACATAAACACCAAAATCTCATTCAGTATAAAAGAATGAGCAACTTAATTAGCCGATATTTTTCACCCTATTTCCATCTACTTTAGCATATAAAGCCGCTGTGTTCTGTTCAGGAATTCATCTCACATATTGCTTGTTCGGTAGTCAGGGGTGGTGAAACTAATGAAAGATTCCATTTTTTCTCATTATAGGCCGGGCCATACATGGTCGTAATTGTGGTGATGCAAAATAAAGGCAGACCAAAGGAATTTAAATACGTCTAGATTTCACTCATAAGTTTAAATGCAAGCAAATACGATTCTAAGTTAGTCCAGCGCAACGCTGTATGTTAAATTTTACTTAGGCGTTTCATTTACTGCTGCAGTCTAAGACGTACTGGTACGCATCATATTCATTCACTTTTTTAATACACACATAATTTTATTTCTGAATCTTATTTTATCGGATATGATTTACAAGACATGTAGATTGCATGTATTGACATTAAAAGGGAATCATTAGTGAGATGGTGGTTGTAGGTCAGGCGAAGCCCACGGCGCGCTTAAAACATACATCTTTGAGCATAATGGCAGATTTCTGACCCTTGCGCATAATTTGTGTTTATTCTACAGGGGATAATGTATATGGTGACGGAGGAAAGAATTTAGTCTTGGATACATACAATCCTCTTTAGCGGTTAGCATCCGTCGATTGCGGAGTCGGTTCCGCTACAATTGACGGAGTTCTTGCTAATGACGATTAGATAGAGCAGTGTTTGCA